AAAATGAGAGGAAAAAAAGACACAGGATTAGTAAGCCATAGAGGAAGGCTATTGTGAAGGATGAACCAGATATCCAAGTAACCTTAAACCATTAGTGTTATTACGCAAAGGAAAAAGGTTCACATTGTCTAATATTGATTTGGTATACAAATAAGAACAGCAGGTAAAATTACAATACCAAAGAAAGAGGTGAAGCAGTCATCTCATTGTTTTATAGTGTATGATTTGTTCTAGAGCCTTGCAAGAGGCACCCATGATACAAAGAAACTCAAATTTTAAGACCATATTTGAAGATGACAAGCAGATAATCCTCTACATAGAGCTCATCAATCACTTGAAAGATGTTAATAAATTATATGTACCTGTTCAATGGGATTCAAAATGTTTGTACCAGCACCTACAGTTAAATTTTCGAGCCACTGAGTAGCCTTTGAGATTGATCCATCGGTAGTCTGCTCCATTTTTGATGAGAACAAGCAAATCTCACCATTGAAAGAAATAAGGTTAAAAGAATCTTCTGGATTAAGCTTGGACAGAGATGCTGATACTGCTGTCTTAACACTTCCAAGTGGGGCTCCTTGCATGCTTTCACTATTATCAATTATGAAAACCACTTCTTTTCTGAATACCTATCACATTTCACCTAGGGAGTAAGAACAACCATGATAGATCGACAAGGTTTCATATAAAGTAAATAGGTTATATTGACTCAAGTCACTCAAGGTTGTTGCAGCAGCATCAGAGGCTTCAAGTAAAGACTAAAGAGACATCAAATAGGCCAGCATCAAGTATGCAAATAATTGCAGACTCTTTCATAAAAGAAAAAGAATTGCATATTATGTATAACATCTTACCAACCTTTCTAGTCTTGTTATTTCCTGGGAAAAGATAGAAGCAGAACATCTCTTTTTGTGACCGCAGAAGTACCCCACCCATCATGTCCCTTGAAGAAACCTACAAACAAAGCCAACCGTCAAGCAGATCAGTTAGTTAATTTGCAATCCTTGGTATCAAATTAAAAAAAAAAAAAAAAAATCTTTGTTAGAGTCCTTACAGTATATGAAAAATTAAAATCTGCAGCTGACCAAGCCTTAACTTCTGCTTCATATAAGAAACTTCCCTTTTGAACCTTACCACTCAGCTCCTGGCAAGTCATGATTAATCAATTAATTCCATGTACAAGCAGTAACCAAGCAGAACTAGTGATGACCCGAATGACATACCTTTAGGGGGTGGCTGGTACATTGATGTAAAATTTCTGTAGCAATACCAGAATTCAAATTCAAAACTATCTTTTCTCTGTTGGAAACAGGTGTCTTCCCAACAGGACTGACATATTCCGGAAAACTAAAAGGTACATTGAGGCAAAACTGACCCTCCTGGTATAATAATTTCTGGGACCAACTGACCTTAATTGAAAGTTTAGACAATCCTTCAACCTACCAAGTAAAGAACCTACAACATTATTAATAACAAAATTACAAGTAATAGTTGAAGAAAAATTAAACTAATTACCTGTGGAATGTTGAAAGTATACAAATTGGGTTTCAAGAACCTTCCATCTCCGGCTTTCGGAATTTCCCCTGTCCCTTTCGTGTCCCCCATCTTGACCCATCGGGAATAATAAGACTTCCCTGCCCCAGGGCCAGGGATGTCAACCTCAACATCTAGTAGTGAACCCTGTTAGCCACATATAATATAATGTTCGTCTTGATAACAAAGAAAACTGATGCAAACATCAAAACAAGAAGTAAAGAAATCCTAAAATCAAACCTACACAATCATGAGTGTAAGTGTGATAAATGGATGTATATAATATAATATTTAGATCTTAAATGAAAAGAATTAATTATAAAACGAAACTTAGCTTGTGATATCATGAGCAATTGTAAATAGTGCATCATTTTCCACAAAACCAACTTCCAAAAGTGCAAGCATGGCATATTGAAATTGTTTGCACGACAAGAATTCTATTGTTACCTGTTCTCCCATTGGCACCGCAATCCGGCAACCACACCTCTCACTGGGCTTTATGCAGTGCACCATATATATGCTAGTAACCGTAACAAATGCAGTATCCATGCAACAATCCACCTCCATGCACACCTCGTGCAGATGCAACGGAATCAGCGCAGGCCGGTCGAAACGCACTCGCACGGACTGCTGGAAGCCAGGTACGTCCGGATTATACATCACCGCCGGCTCCTCCACCACGGCGTACACCATCACCGCCGTCGGTAAATAACTCTCCGGTGCCGACTTCGACATCTTCTCCGGCTCCGGTGGGACTCCCTTACCGGAGCTTGTTCGCTTCGACAGCCGAAGGCCGTACTCCACCGAAGCTGAAAACTCTCTAGCCATGTCGCCACACAATCTTCCCGGAGATTATCAACCTCCGGTAACTGTTTCGCAATCGGAAAAGATTGTTCTGGAAGCGGAAGTAAATATATAACTAGTTACGGTTTTTTTGAAATGCAGTTTGAGACCAAAAGAGATAGATATTCTTTGA